CTGGATAAAATTCATCCAAATCAATTTTATCCAGAAAGATTTTTAGATCAAGATCGACAACATCATCCATATGCATGGATTCAATTAGGTGCTGGTCATCAACAATGTCTTGGACAAGATTTTAGCTAAATTTCAATTAAAACTAATTGCAGCAAGATTAATCTAATATATCACATTTGGTGATGGTGGTTTGAATATAAACACAGGTGATCATTTAACTAGTGCTACTATCAAACCTCGAAATCAGTTTTGATGGATGATTCTAAATTTAGTTTCCATCATTTATCGATTATTTCTATAATGATTCTAAAGAAACAAGAACATATACTATCACTAATATAAAGATGATTTCTTGTATTTATATTTTGTTATATCCATACTATCTATAGCTGAACAAACATGGCACAAGTAGAAAGGGTGAAGAAGTTCTGACTATAGATTTTATCAGCTAGACAAAAGCTTGGAAAGAGATGATAAAACGTTTCATAACAGTGCTTTCTAGCATGAGATTCTATTCAGAAATAGATATATACAAGTAGACACAAGTGAATGCTTTTTATTCGGAACTTATCTTGTCACGGCAAAAGATTGTTTTTCAATGATTACTCACGTCACTTCATTGAAAATATGAATTGTGGCAAAAGTTTGAGAGATACAATGATCTAATTAGGAGATTTCACACATCTCTTGAAAAGTCTAACCGATAGAATAAAAGCAGAATCAATCAAGTTTGTGAAGACACTTTGAAAAATTAGAAGAAATTAACTTCCAGCAACTGCTTTCTCGTCTAAAATGATGAGAGATTGAAAGAAGAATCTCAAAATAAATAATAAAATTAATATCATTTTCGACACTCTAAATGCCTAAAACGAGGCGAGCATGAATTTTCGCCTTCTTATTGCCAAAATATACTTAAGAAAAGTCGAAGCTGATTGTAGTGTTCCTTTTTATAACAGAGAACTAATCGAATAGCTAAATTGGTGAATGATGTTCGACATGTTTATTGTATGCGAGCTCATCTGTATAAGAAATACGAACCACATCACTGCTTTCTTTCGCAATTAATTCAAAATTTTGCGTTAGAAAATAAAGTGACTTACCAATCGAACAATTTAATTGATCGATTAGTAACATTTTCAATCATATTTCTAATGATCAACAATTCTTATGTAGTTAGAGTCCACATACGCTATTCTTTATTGAATTGATATTCGATTTTTTCGTTCGGTAGACATAAGATTGAATCTTTTCTTATTAATAACAGTATACTCTATCTATCGTTCATATTTTACACATGTTTTACATTTTACTGTACCATCCTTATTTGGACTGTAAAATAAATCGGAACATATATATATAAGTTTTTCATGAGTATCTTGTTACAACAAAAGATGAGTTCTACTTAGTGATGTTCAAATTACAATCTGTGAGTTCGAATTTGGAACTATTAGCATACCATATGAACAGTTCAGCCTGTTTCATTATCCTTTCACAAGATAAATCAAAATAAATTTTGTATATGTAATAGAAAAACAAATTTATATTTATCGTTTGAAAAGTGAATAATTGATGTAGAAAGGCAATTTCGAGATAGGATTCTGAAAGAACAATTATTTATGAGATAAATAATTATTATAAGAACCTAATCTCTACACTACTTTATCATATGGCTCATCACACATCCCTTATTTGTCATGTAAGTAGGTTATATATCTATTGTGTATATTAAAGTTCCACTGGACCTTCTCGCAAGTTTTAGTCATAATTGATGTGGCGAATTGCATTCATCGTAATCTATTAAAATACGTCAATCAACCTTTACGAGTTTTGTAAGAACACAGGCTTATCTAAACACAAGATATTTTGATGACGTTAGTTTTCTCATGATGATTATCTTCAATGAATTCAGCACTACTATTGAAAAGCATAGAATTAAAGTAATATGTAACGAAAATTTTTAATGCTCTACATTTTGTTGAAAAATAATAAAAATTCTTGCGCTTCTGCCAGTCAGATAAATGTGCTTTTTTTAAGAAAATCATTAATGTTCAAGATAAGAATTCTCATTTGATATTAGAAAATGCTCAACGAACAGTTTTTTCAAAGAAGGTTTTAGACGATTTTAATATGAACAAAAGAAATTTTTTATTTTTAGCTTTGTCAAAAAGCATCGCATATTATGAATAGAATTCTAGCAACAGTTATAAGCAATTCAGTACGATGTTGTATTTAGAAAGTTTATTATTTAGCTAAGAAAAATTTTAAAAAGACATTGATAAAGATGACAGTATATCGCTCACGAAAGTAACAATCTTTTCCCATGAAATAGAATGGTAAACATTTACAATAAGGTTGGCATATCGACCACGACATTGGCAATTTCTTCTGGGGAGATATTGAAAAACTTCACGAATTCGACTGTCCACCATTGGAATACTTAGGGACGTAGAATTTCAGTAAACTACTCATCAAAAACTTCCACTGATTTCCGTGACATATTCATACTGTGTGGATGTTTAAATGCTTGGGTGAACAAAGATCCAATGTGTAACCAGTACAAGAGCAGACTCGCTGCTAGTATTATTCGTGTTTGTACCGTAACTGCACATCCATAGTGATATTCTGAGACTACGAGCATATTATGAATTTATATTAACAGTTTTAGTTTATCATGATGAGACCAGAGGTTTTTTAAACTTTTTTAAATCCATTATCGTCAAGAGGAAAAGCAGATTACAATGAACATCACAATTGAAGAATACGAAATAGGAAAAGAAAGAGATGCCCTCAGGTTTTTGAGACACAAGAAAAATTCGATTCGGAAGACAGAGCTTATCATAGGTCTCGATCAATTATGGTATATTATGATGGATTCTGTGCTTGTTAAAATCTATTAGGATCTACATTTTCTTTATTGATTTGAAATTATTGTAAAACTAGCTTGTTTCTACTAAACTCTAGTTAAATTCAATAGATCTTAATGGATTCTGCTGAATATCGAGAGATTGCAGTAATGTTTGGTACACTTCGGTAAATATATTTTCTGATTCCCTAGAAGTCATCAGCATCCATCTGACAGAGTTTTAATCGGTTAATAAGGGTGTGGGTGTAGGTAAGGCAATAATACTCACAGCTACACCCGAAACCACATCCACACCCTTTACAAAATAATCTCTTATATTTTATTCTTCATCGTATTTTTAAAAGATTAATATCCCAATAACATGTATCCAAATACATTCTTTGGAAGAACATGTGCATTCATATCGACAAGATGTAATGTTTATAAAAATAAACCTTTTCATGACGCTTTACAAATAAAGAAATGAAAGAAAAAATTATAAAGCAGTTCTTCTATTTATTCTTACTCAAGAACATGTATGAGTCATAAAATCATAGAAAGAAAATTTTTCATCCTATCCGACGCCGTCCATTTAATGCTGTTTGTGATGTACGAGTATGATGCAGTGAAAGACCTTTAGAACGAAAAACTTTTCTCCTACCTTTCAATTAAATTTTGTTTTCATCGATTTCTACACAATTACCAACCATGTTGAAATGTTTCTTCTATTAGCAGATTTTTTTTCTCGTTTCAAGAAAAAGTTCATTTATAAAGAAGTAAAAGTAGAGCTAATGATATTGCAGCAAATGAAATTTTTTCATGATATTTCTGAGCAAAACCTGTTACATTTCGATTGAATAATTGAGCAAACTGTGCAATTGAATCGTGGTATGTAATTATCAAGAATTTGTTTTAGAAGATGAACATTTTCTGTATCATCGACGAAGTTATTATACACAAAACAACCAATTTGAATCAAATAGTAAAACTTTTCATAGATCTTATTTGCATAGTTGGAATTTATTTCTTAGACGAAGTGGACTCGAGATTGTATATTTCACTTTCCTTCAATACATCACCGAAATTAACCTTAATTAAATTATAATTATGACTGATATCCATTTTCATGAGTATAAAAAAAGAATAAGTGACTTTTTCAATTATATTTTCTATGAAAACAACTCTTCCGCCTACTTTAATTTGCGAAGTACTATACTAAAGAAGAGTCTTATTCAAGGGAGAAATAGCGAGGCTTCATCTACTTCCGAAGTTTTTTGAAGTACGAGGAAAGTACGCACTCCTGAAATCTTGCTCCTTCCTCCTTGGTCTTATTTCATTGGAAACAAATTTTCATCTAGAAAAACAATTGAAAAAAAAACAGTATCCAACGTGAAACAATTACGCTTCATACTTTTACATGAAATATTTAGCTCTTGTTTTCTGTTGACTTGTAGGGGAAAATATAGAGAAAAAAAACATCAAATGGCATCTGTCACCTCAATTTCAACAACAATCGATGACATTATTCATCGAGCAAGTGAAGTAAAAGTGCTTCAAGACCATTTCAAATTGATCACAACTAGTTTAGCTCGTCTTCGGAATGAATTGAATGATACAATTGAAACATTGCATCAAACTCGTACACAACAAGATCTTGCACTAATATTAAAAGCCATTAATGAAATTGTTACAAGTTGCAGTCAAAATGAAAATAATCTTAATGGTATAACCTATAAAGACCTCGAATCTATATTGTTTCGTCTTCAATTTCGACTCATTCAACTTGAAACCAATACAAAAGACGACTATCAATTGAGAGCTCAAATGCTTAGCAACGCATATCAAGAACAGCAACGTATTATGCAGAAATCTTTTGATGAGATGACGAAAGAAAGATTAGGAGCTATGGAAAAGAATACAATAGAACAACTACGTCTCTTACGTGAAAAATACACAAAAACAATTGAATCCTATCTTCGCAGTTGTATTGAATTACATCAAAATGAGTCATTTACTGATCTCACTGGTGAAATTGTTGCCAAAGTTGCTCATATGTCTTATCAAATATCTTCCGAAGATCAAACTCAACTAGAACTCAATTGGAAATCATGCAAACTCCCACTCACAAGTAAATTCATTCAATTTAAACCTGATAAATCTACAGTATTCGAAAGAAATGAATCACGACGATTGTTAATGAACAATAAAGACACTATGCTACGAACTATACATATCAGAAAAGAGGCATCAGCAGGAATATGGAAACAATTGCTTTCAGCACCCTACATGATGTCAATGGTTGATAGAGATCGCGATTCAAAAGAAGATAATATTACTGAAGAAACTATTATTCGAACAAAACGTTGGATTAGTATTTCAGGTAATGCAGGAAGTGGCAAAACAAGTTTTGTTCGACAAATTGTTCGTCAACTAGCTGAAACATTTCTACTCAATGAACAACATTCAACAAATTATGGTCCTCTTCGTATACCGATTTTGATTGGTATTAGCGACTTTGTCGAAATATTGAAAGAGCAACCATCACTTACTTTATTTGATTATATTGGAAAGCATAAATGGTTGGGAAACTCAATTATCGATGATGCATCTATTTCTATTGATGATTTATCTTATGCTCTTCAAGATTACATAAAACAAGGCCAAGCTCTAATTATACTTGATGGTCTTGACCAAATTTCATTTCTCAATCAACGATCAAAAATTATCGATGTAATTCAAACGTTTGTTGATACTTATTTTCAAACACCTACGAATGTATCTATCTTCGACAATCCATATCTAAGTAAACTGCTTGATGATCCATCTCAATCTGGAGGCAATCAAATTATTATTACAAGTCGTATAGTTGATTATTATGCTGCTCCTCTAGCTGGACAATTCGCTCATTACACAATTCAGCCGATGAATAGGGAACATATCAAAGATTTTATTGATTATTGGTTTTTTCATGTTCATCAACAGATAATCGAGATTGTAAACTCTTCAATAGTTAATCAAGGAAAGATTCAGAGTGAAGCATTGAAAAAAGAATTGGAAAAACCTGAAAATGTAACTCTTATTGATATGGCTTCTAATATTTATTTAGTATCATTTATTTGCACTCTATGTTTTAATCAATTCGATGGTTCACCATTACCTACTCAACGCATTCTTCTATATGATCAAATTATCAATTCTATGCTCAATTTGTCGATTAATAAACGATCCACGATTGAAATGTCAAAATTGATTCAAATTTTAAGTGACATTGCTATTTATATTCATGATTATTCATCATCAGGTCTTATTGATGAAGAACAAATGAAAGACATATGTATTAAATCAATCCAAACTTCTTTGGATAAAACATTATTTACCGAAGAAGATCTTCAGGATATTGAAAGTCAAGCCTTTGAATTTATACGAATTATTCGTGAAGATACAGGTTTTTTAGTTGCTCGAGGTGAATCACTTTATGGTTTTCTTCATTTGACATTTCAAGAATATTTCACTTGTTTAAAACTTATTGAAGTAGATTCATCAAAACAAAAGAAATTCATTACTGATAGACTCGATCGAAAAAATGAAATTCAACTTATTGCTAAATTACTTCGTCATCACACAAATGATCCACGTTTTCGTATACCAATTGTACTAGCATTAGGCAAGATTAGTTCTTCTTGGTCTCAAAATGATTTTGATAATCTATGTTATGAATTTATTCAAGATGAAAATCAATCTAATTCTCTTCTTCCACTTTGTGCTTTTATGTTAATTACTTGTGTTGATGATCTTGTTAAGTATCCTGCCGATGAAATTCTATTCAAGGCTTTAGATTGTTTAATAATTGCAGCTGGTCAACATAAATGGTCAATTGTTTCTCCATTTCTATTTGATCAAATGACAGTTGCATTAAAAAAATTTCGAAATGATATTATTCAACAATGGATTAACAATTTATTATCACGATCGTCTTCACATGATATTCAAACAATATCGAGTCTTTGTCATTTTATCGAAGGAAAACCTCATGAATTTGAAAATATTAAATGGTTAAATCAATCATTTTGTTCAATGCTGCAAACTTTGTCAACACTTGATAATGAAAATAATGAATTTGCTATTGATCGATTATTAGTTAAAATTGCTTACTCAAATCATCATTTATTACCTATCGATCCAAATACATTTAAAGGATTTCTTCTTCAAAAAGAAATAGAAGTGAATTCAATACCTATTGTTCTCTTTCCTTTAATCATTACTTTATATGGTGGTTTAAAAAGAAATGATCAAGCTGTCATTTTCGATCCATCTTATATACATCGAGAATGTTCAATAATAACACCAGCTTTAATAAGTTTCTTTTGTGAACAAGATCCAAATAGTCAAAATCAAAATTTGAAAAAGTTACAAGAAGAATGTTTAAAATCATTTTTAGTACGCATGAATAATCATGATGAATGTCCCCAATCCATTGATTTATGCACTGCAATTATTTGCTTTTATAATATTGAATATTTGCAAGATAATTTAAGTACCATATCGAATTCATTTTTATGTAAGTGTATGAATAGATTAAAATATATTTCAATGATTTTACGTCAATTCTTTTTTACTGCTGATCGAAATGATCGATGGATGGAAGATGAAATAACAAAATTTATTTCAACTGCAATCGAAAAATTTCAGTATGTTGAAGCAACAAGAATTCATTTTTTAGATTTATTAAATTCACTAGGAAGTAGTGTAGCTCGTTTGCGATCGTCTTCAAAATCTATTTTTATGGAAGGAGTTTCAAGAGTTGATAAGCGAATAACATTACATTTGACTAATTCTCTTCGAAAAAATAAGTTTCTCAATAGTCTTTTAGTGACAGATATACAATTTGATTCTAATCAAAAATCTTGCTCATTACTTCATCAGTTTACCAAACTTTTCTGGGTATTAGACCACAATGATGAATACAGAACACAATACAGAATGGCAGTTGCTATGGATACAGTACCGCAATATTTAGTTTTCCGAAATGATGAAGACCTTTTATTTACATTAACATTTGTTCCTGTACATTTACGAAATCTCTATGTTAGATTATTGAAAGAAAACTTTATTACGATCAATTCAAGAAATGCCACAATGAATAACAAACCACATCTATATTTTGGTCACATTCTAATTGAATGTTTTATATTGTTATCAAATGCATCGTGCAATACACTGTCTATTTTCGCTGCTGTAATTGCTCTGCTACCTTGGCTTCGAGTTCATAACTTAGAAAACTTTGGTAGTAGTCGTTTATGGTCATTGGCTCTAGAAGATTCTGACACTTTGGGCAGTTTTGAACAAAAGAGACAACGTTCAATGGATAATCAAACCGGTCGATACACAGATACAGATAAAGATATTTTTGACGGGAAGGATCTAACAGATGAACAGCGAAAAATACTAATTCAACATCATATTGAACAAGAATATGAAAGGCTTCAAAATGCGAGAATGGAAAACGATGAAAAAAATATGAAACTTTATTCCGCATCGATATCTTTAGCACATATTTGCCGTTGGGCTGAAGATGAAAGAAGATTATCTTTATTAGAACAAAGTATAAATGGTGCAATGTCAATTGAAAATAAAATTGCTCGTCTTGATGCATTATGTGCCATTGCTTTTTACGCTCACACAGATTTTGATAAACTTGAAGTAAGTAGAGATATGTCTCTACAAAAAGAAATTGAACATCAGTTCAACGAAATTTATTCAGATCTTCCTCTTCTATTACATGCTGCTATTTTCCTTCGATGTTTACCACTACTTCAACATTCACAAATGATTAATGATTGTCTTGAAAAACTCTTTTCTAAATTTGAAAATACTGATCAACGAGATCAACAAGCAGTCAATGAAGCGTTATTACCATATATACAATCAACTTATGTTTTGTCGTCTATTACAAATAGTTTCTCACTTGGTTTAATAGACAATATCAAAACAATACATAATAAATCTGTTGTCTTGAAAAAATATTTTCCTTTTGTTACACATGAAAATGTATCATTTACATTATTTATTTCAATTTTTTTTATTTCGGAATTAACCAGCGATCTTCGTGACTATATTAAGACAGATAATCGCAAATTCGTCATTGATGAATCAATTGTAACAAAGCTATTTCAAGTCGACAATTGTATACTGACAGAAACACAAGCATTTACAATAACAAATATTCTTGCCTTTATTTCATTACCAGATCAATCTAAACAGTTTTGAAAAACTTCGGATTATATTAAGCAATGTTCTTCACCGTATGAGTTGGGTAGAATTGAAGGCTCGTCGTTTATTGGAATCTTGGTTGAAATGGAAAAATTCAAATGAATTATTGACATTTGCCTATCATGCAGCAGTTCTTCTAAGTAACTCGAATCTTTGGTCTATCGAAGTCGCCACAATAATGTGTGATATTTTATGTTGTGATAATGATCGTTTTCGTCATCGAGTTGAAATAATTTTCAGATTATCAAGTGATAAAGATGTTCGTACAAGTTCAACATTGGGTATTAACGTCTTATTGACTTTGTTTAAGAAAAATATTCATTATCAGTTAACTTCAACATCTGCTAGACTTACACTAAATCGAATGATAGTAAATACAACTCTAGATATGCAATTTCATCTAGAAACGATACTTTGGTTAGAAAGATACAGAATTCATGCATTAATAAATCCTGAATATTGCCTCAACAAACCAAGACCATGCGCAAAATCTTATATATCTTCCTATTTTTCAACCGATATCTCAATTGATGCATGCTCTTGCGTTAATTTATGTCGACTGTCTAATGATTTGGTAATATATATGTGTGATATGATTGCATCGGGTTTCTTTGTATTTTTGGAGATCGACGGAGATACAACATCTGATGAAGTTTTAGAAAGTCACACTCAATTTATTGCTTCAGTAATTTTGACACTTTTTAACTCAATGAATTCTATTGATGATGCACGCCATTTAGCAGTCGACGCTCTTATGAATTTATTTGATACGTCCGAAAAAGAGGCAGTTCATCAAGCAATAGCGTATACCCTTGGTTATGTATGTAACGAGCAAACACATAAAACCTTACTTGATAGAATTCTATTGGCAATGACCACCGACGGTGATGAAAATTCTACCTATTCCAATAATGTTTTGATTGCATTAACTTCAAGTTATGCTTATTGTGTATGTATAAACGAAATTGCATTTGATAAAGACGACATGGACTTATTCTGTAGTTTGTTAAAACACTCGTCTCAGGATGTTGTGAGAGCAGCTCGTACAGGACTTGCTCGTGTTCGAAAAGATACATCATTTCTAGTTGAATCGCTTGCTTTTGATCATATTCAATGTTATCATGCATTGATTGGAGCAACTGCATACTTGTTTCTTTATGATGTTCAACAAAGCAGTGAAAATAATGTTGCAGATTTTATTGAGAAAAATCCAGATCTTTTACTAATCTTTATTGTTGAATTATACAACAGCATTCGTCATTTTACTACTAAAGTTGTACCAGTGGCTGACAATAATTATGTTTTAGCTTATGCATATCCTCAATATGTGAAAGTCGCCAGTTTAATCGCTGTACGAATGCCTGCAGCATTTTGTGCTTTTATTAAGGATTGGAGTGATGGAGATAATTTGAAACGTGCATTGTTTTATACTAGCAAACAACATAATTTTCCACAACGTGCTGCTTGTCTAACTATTCTATCGCTGTTAGGCGAGTTAACTGTCGATTTATGTGAGATGTTCACTGAAGCTTTACGTGATGATCCACATATTCAAAATACTTGTTACAAATGCATAACGCATATTCGTTCTATTAAAGATGAACAAGTCGTTTTTAATCTTTTATTTTCTTATTTGAAATCGAACTCAATGAATGTTCGATATATTACAGCTAAGCTACTTCTTCGTCTTTCTCAATTATCTCTTATTTCATTTCAACAAGTTCAAATAATATTGAATGATGCTATGTTAGATCCTAGTTCTAATGAAGAGCTATGGTTAATTGAAGAACAAGACGGTGTTTGGATAAAGTGCATATATTACTATGCTGGTTCATTGAAAGATGTTATTTATTCCCTTCTCGTTCAACAAATTATTGGTGATGCAAGTGAACCTGTTCGAAGAAATCAATTCAATGATATTGATTTCAATTTCATTGAATCTGAAAAATCATCACGTTTAGCTTCATGTCTTTATGAAACTCAAACTAATCAAGATGCAGAACCTGAGAACTCAACAGCACCGACTGATTTAAATGACGATAGTGACGGCTGAACTTCACTTTAAAACTTCTGCTATGAACATAAAACTGATGATGATGTATAACCAGTAATTGAAAAGATCATAATCATTAATGATCATAAAAACGAGAATCTTCATAGATTTGATACTGAAAATAAATCAATACAACCAAATAAGAAAAGTTATTCCATTTTTTCTAGTTTGTTTCGAAGTTTTTCTCTATAAATCGAGAATAAAAAGTTATTTTTCTCAATAATAAACAATATTTTTAAACTTAACTTTAAGTGAAAAAACATCAAAAGTATTAGAAATCAGTATCTTGCAAAAGAAAAAGACAGTTATTCTAAAAGATTTAATTATTAACACACAAGATGCTTCTCGAACTCAAATAGATCAGAAAAAATGAGTTAATCTCTCCATATATGAATATAATTTTCGATTTTGTTTAGAAATTTCGTCAATAACGAAAGTCATGTGGACATTTGCTGACATACACCCTCGATTTTTTTCAACGTGAGAGTAAATTATATATGAATAAAAAGTCTCCAACGCCTACAACATGAAGTTTGGTTCATCAAGTTAAACAATGTCATCTTATCCTCTAAACCTACAATATCTTAATTTTTATTTCATCGCAAAATTAACGTTTTTCTTCACTTGTTGTTTAGTCACATCTCTCATCCAAATCGACTCTCTGGTTTTATTGATATTGGCGCTCACAGGTGTTAGTAGATACAGCTCATCAAGTTCCATCTACATACGTAAATAGATCTCATCTATCTTTCTTTCGGAACGTTCATGCATTTTACAGAAGATCAATTCCATTTTCGGAATATCGTGGGAAAATCACTATTTTCAGTACGATAGTTTTCCGGTTCAGAATATGACTCTCATGCTCGTGTGTTTTTCCAACGAATAACTGCAGAAAATTCAGTGGATACGACGAGTAACATGACGAAATAGCATCGTCAAAACTCAATTCGAGCCCTAATTATGGATCTCGGTATCGATTATAGTACTGTTAAGAATGCTAGATGGGTTTAAGAAAAACATCAAGAACAAAATTCAAGAATTGGACAATAACTGTTTCAATAATTGAAAATTCATACACTATTTATGTTTATTTCCAAAAACAAAAAATAAGTATTTAGATGTTTCTGAATTTAAATAAAAAGACTATTTGTATAGATGTTGGTTGCATCACTTCTTTGACTAGGTCATTACGACATAGACAAAATTTTATAGCTTATTTCTTGATTTAATTAAGTTTCAGGTGCAGGCTTGAATGATCAAGAAAACTATGCTACCATTGGAATTACTACGAGTTTTGTGCACTTATTCATTTCTTTATATGACTTTCTTTTATTTTTTTTTGTTTTGTGGTATTGACTGCATGCACAACTAGGCGATGGAATTATTTATTGGCAGGATGCAATATATTTTATTTTCGTAGTCTTTCTCATTTTGTCAGATATATTACGTGAGTATTAGAAGTCTTTTTCTCTAGTTCTTAGCATTGATAGTATATGTTACGTTTACTTTCTATGTCTAGTATACTGTTCATCATCTACAAAACTGTTTTTCCGATTCTAGAATTTGTATGCTTTTGTTTGGCTATGTTTTATCCATTATGCATTATAATGATCTAAATTTTTTCTTAGCATAGAAAGGGCGGTCTTTTATAACTCAATACTGTGTACTCTTCAATGCATAGGTCTCGCTTTGTTTCAATGAACAATCAATATCACTTTTATTTGAGTATGTTGAATTAATTCTTTCTTTTTTTTCCCGAAGACCAATATTTTCATACTCGTCACAAGCGTTCTTTAAAATCGACAGAAAAGTCATCCCTCGTTTGACATTTGTTACTTCAAAATTCTATTTTTAACAGAAAACCAAAGTAATGATTAGATGTCTTCTATCGAATTCTAGAATACTGAATTTTTTCTCTTTATTTTGAATCGGGAGACATTTAGAGAGATTTCATGCGAGTCTTTTCGCGGTATCCGAATCAAAAAAGATAGCTTATATATGTACTAGCTCAGTACTCCACATTTCATTCGTGAAAACTGCATTGATTGTCAAAAGAAAGTTTTTCTGTAGTATCACATGTGAGTCCCGGAAAGTCAACTGGTTTTTGAATATTCAATTTCGATATCTGAAGAGAGAGAGAGAGATTCTTAATCGAGAATTTGTTCTATTTTGTCTACTCTGCTGAAACGATTTATTTATCAACTCTCACAGATATTTGAGTATTAATTCTTGAATAATTAAATAGATACTTAAATTTCGAGCATTATATGTGAATACATCCAAACTCATACTGTCTTAGAGCAAAATCCATCGAAACCAAGTTCTAATTACATGTAGTATAATTTATGGTACTCATGAAAATATAATAATCATGATATGAAATTGTATGATACAAAATAGGATTTTCTAAGTTAAAACTACAAATATAGTTTTGCGTTCATACGTATCATGGAATAGCTGTTGATAAGTTGATCATGATGTATCATCGAAAGTACTCTGCGAACTGATTCATCATTAACATCGTGCAAACATATCAGCGTAATAAAATTGAGATTGTTATTCGTAGTGTTTCTTAATAGAAAAAAACTTGATATATGGATTCAAAGTTATCTAGTTCAAGTTTTACATCGAGATATTGCACATATGGGCAGGTACTAATGATAAGTTTAATGTCTTCTAGTGTCAGCTGAAGTGCTTCAACATCAACAGATCCTTTTGTTATCTTGTTGCTGGAGATTATCGTGACAGCATAAAATGGATTAGCGAATCACGTTAGAGAACGAATATTGGGTGTAATACGTAATAGTTCGAGTAGTCGAGTAAAATCAAGACCATTCCAATCGAAACCTATTCGTGTAAGTGGTGTGTAGATGTTGATCAGGTGTCGTTGCGTGTGTGAGTGGATAAATTGCTAGATCAGACATTAGCAACTCCACCCACATCCACACCCTCTTTTCGGACCTTAGCATTGATCTTCTAAGAGATAATTTTCTATTGTGGGAGAAGTTTAGGTTTTCTTTCTTGTTCAATACTACCATTGTAAATAGAAATTTATATTGAAAAAAAACTTATACTCTTCCACTGTATGAAATATTCATATTCCGTGAGCCATACATTTTTTTGAAAGAATATTTATTATGCAAGAGAAAAAAAGATAATCCATGGAAAATGTCAATAGAGAGATTGTTTAAAATGAAAGATAATTAAGTTGCTATGAGAACCATATATGAACTGATAGTTTATCAAAACGATATGTAAAATTAAGTTTTTGACAACATTGTATTTGATCAAAGACAGATCGAATATTGTGACAAGACTTTTGTACTTCTTCTCTATTAGAATAGTGTGGCATGTATTGAAATGATGCTGTCTTTAAATGTTTGAATCGATCGAGGAAATCAATCATTTCTGTTGTTGAACACGTATGATATATGTGTAAATGTTCAATGTTTGGAAAAATCATGGATAATTTTTCAATACTATAGATTGAAGTATTTATGAATGATTCACTTATTGTTAATCTCCGGATATTTTTAAGTTTTTTAGAACAAATTCGCTTGAGAAAAATATTCATTTCTTTTTTGATTGATATTTCACAGAGATTTGGCATTTCTCTTAATAAATACATCACTGGGAAATTTTTCACCGATAAATTTAAAACCAAATGTTGTACTCGACAAAGATCAAGAATACTTTTTAAAGTGGATATGCAATGAGGGTAATCGATACCTAGTGTTTGAACATGAGGAAAATAATGATTTGTATTATTTGATATTGATGATAAAGTTAGTCTGTTGATAGTTTCGTAGAAAATTATATTATCAGATACTGTTGAAAATAGGGGAAACTGGAAATCTTCATCAACTGTCGTTTGATAAAAGTGAGGTACTGAATAAAGATTTTTGCGACCACAGGCTACAAACCAATGTTTTTCTTCAAGCCAAAATGAAGTACGAAATGAATCAAGATCTTGAGATTCTAATGAAACTGATAGGTTAAACATGAAATTAAATGTGATAAGATGCTGCACTATCATTTGCCATCGTTGACCATTGACTACATCACAGTTACAATTAACAATTAATATCAAATGTTTAAGACGAGGCAAGTTTGACATCATTTCTTCTAGATGACTCATTGAGATATTTGAACCTAAAAATTCTTTTATTATAACGATGATTTAGTATTTTAAGAAACTGACCTTCAATTTCTAGAACCAGTCGTTTCAATTGAGTCAATGGATAAAGAAATTGTGTAGTCGAATCATCAAGTTCAAATTTAGTTTCAAGTGATTTTAGTCGAGTTGCTACAGAACTAATATGTTTAACTATATCGACTGAAGATCGTTCGAGTATTAAATGTTGAAGTTGAGGAAATTGTATTGAATTCAAGAAATCTCCATGAGATAATTTCAATCGACATAATTGAGGTAATATTGGACCATAAATATTAAATAAACGGCTATCAAGTTGGTTGAGATCAAATCCAGTAATATCGGAAATCCACGAATTGATTCGACTTGGTTGAGTGTAGAAAAATGAACGTAAGTTCTTGAGTTCAACCATACTTTGTATAATATTTTCCCATAGATGTGGCCCAATATCAAATAAAGTCAATGACTGAAGATGAGTGAATTGATTGATTTGAAAATATGTTAAAAATAATTCTGCTAAACCAGGAGTATCTTCATCATTCGAGAGTATCAGTCCAATGACTCGATCAGGTACAATATGCTTACAGATAAGATCAAAATTAGGTTTTGAAATTGATTTGAAATTTACATAGTAATTTGAGTAGGTAATCAATACAGCATCAAGATAGGAGCTAACATTCATAAATGTATAAAAAATTTCATGAGCCGAAAAATAACTGAATAAATCATCGATGAGTTCGACGGGTAAAATATCTAATCGGCAGTTACTCATCATAATGTAACAGATTTATAAAAAATAAATGTAATATTTATTATTTGTTTTATCCAAAATTGTTATGAAATATGTGCATGAGTCGTCTAATATTTTACTCGTATGCTTTCATTTAAACGCAAAAACAACTCTTGTGTCATAAATAAAAAGAGAACGGTAGTAAAAAAACAAACTGTATTTTAATGATTCATCACTACAACAATCTCTGATATGAATATCAAAACATTGATTTCTTTTAAAGAGAATTATGAAAAGCGTAAGCATTTATATATAGAATAAATTATGACAGATATTCAAATATAAACTACAGACATTTCATATAAATTTTCAGTATTTACCAAAATATGAGAAAGAAATTTCCAAGTAATCGAATTGATGACTCATTTATTTCAAGAATATGTATCGTAAGATGTCGGCGTAGTGGATGTTGTTCATTGCTTTCATCAAATCCCACACCCTCAAGAGGATATAGTTAGAATAATTTCCAATAAATTATTAATTAAAGATAACAACAATGTTTTATATTATCTTTTTATTATGAATAAATCAAGAAATTTGATTTCTATAGTTTTGTCTATTTATTCTGATGTATACTGCAATGAATCATATTTTAATTAATTTTGACTTCTTTCAGACTAAATCAGTACAAAATATAGTCTTTCTATTTCCTTTCTAATATGCAATCAAAATACGTTACATAAACAAAGAGTTCTTAATTGAATAATAAATTCATAAAAAAAAAGAAAAAATTAAAAATGATCTTGACATGAAGATTGTCCATTTTTATAAAAATGATGAAGGCGATTAGCATTACGGACAATAATTTCACGTTGTCGAATTTTTGCTATTCGTTTTATAGCTTCATCTGAAGTGAAAACAAAAAAGGATTTATACATTGTTAAGAATATGACCGCATAAAGCTGATTCAATAGTTTCTTTTTCGTCTAATTCACGAGTTAACCAAGAAGAATCACACTTGTAACCATTTTCAATTAATTCAGATTTTATGAGATCAGCTGCAGCATGGATTCCTTTTGATTGAGGATATGAATGATCATCAACTGTGAATCCCTAAAAAGTAAACAAATTTTTTTCATTTTTCTTAAAGTTTAAAAAGAAAAAATTTACCACTACTTCATCATTTGCATCAGTCCATGAAAAATCCTATTTTGACTTTTATTCGTAATTATTTTATTTGATTAGATCGAGAGTTTTTCGCTAGTTGATGTTCACCAATGGATGAATATATGTTTTATAGAAGAATTGCACCTGATAAAAGCCATTGTCTCTGATTAGAAAATAAATATTTCATTCGCTTGTATATCTTTTCAGATAAATTCCTATTGTGATTGTTACGTGCATTAGATAATAAGCAGACTAAGAGGTGACCACTCATTTCGTCCCATTACTTTTCGTCCCCTTACACTACGTCCCATTCATTTCGTCTCTCGCTCATTTTGTCCCTTTTCATTTCGTCCCAAATTCATTTTGTCCCAGTGTCATTTCGTCCCATACACTTCGTCCCAAACTCATTTTGTCCCGTTACACTTTGTCCTACCGGACAAGTCGTTTCTGACGATTCTACTTAATATACAATATCATGTACTATGATCTTCTACGTTTAATATATTAAATAAAATGAAGAATGAATAACAGTTCAAGAATTTAGTTTCACGTTAGCAGCCACACGGGCCAGATCTTGCGGGTGAGGGTCACAGCTTTCGAATCGAAAAATACGTTTTTCATCAGTCAATCGGTATTGCATGTACACGAACTCACCATGATACACAATCGGATTTCCTCTTTCACTCTTCAAAATTTCAATATCACCCATCGGTCGTATAGATAGCAACACTTGATTAAATCAGCAGTTACCGGGATTTTTTTTGGGGATTTTTTAATAAATCTATATACGTTTTTAAATAAATCCCGCACTATTTTGAGAGTGAGGGCGAAGGCGATGGTGAGGATGAGGATGTAGACGCAATTGTGGGTGAGGGCAAAGGGGGCAGCAGTCGAGTGAAGGTGCAAGAAAATCCTGATGCAGCTAATAAATCCCAATAAATCCCCATTAAATAAATAAATCCTAACAAATCCTATAGAAGAAATAAATCCCAAAACAATAAGTCCCGGTAGCCCCTCGATTAAATAGCAAAGAAGAACAGCTTTACGTGGTGAACAATATTTGAGTGTGAATTTTTTTTTTCTTTTCTGTTTCTCTTTCGTTAAAGTTAGCTAATCATATGAAAAAAGTAGGGACAAAGTGTAACGGGACAAAATGAGTTTGGGACGAAGTGTATAGGACGAAATGACACTGGGACAAAATGAATTTGGGACGAAATGAAAAGGGATAAAATGAGCGAGGGACGAAATGAATGGGACGTAGTGTAAGGGGACGAAAAGTAATGGGACGAAATGATAGGGTGCCGACTAAGATGAAAACAATAAACAAATCAACAATATATCAATATAATTTATGACAATATAAGGTGAATTTGTCTTTTCATATTCATCTATCAAATTTAATGCTTCATCAAATAAATAAAAAATGGCTTAAACAATCAGCCTTAAATATAACATTAACTAATCATTGTTAATATAATAGACTAAATAAAATGACAAACCATTACAGTTACCACTTTTTCTGTTTTGAGAGTAATTTCATTGAAAATATTGTGAGCTTGTTGAAGAATACCTGAATGAGAACATGCATTTAACACACAAATATGTGAAATTTCATCATAGAGACTATTTGGTATCTGTCTATATAATTCAATAGCTCCAGAACCCATTCCATTAAGTACAAATTCATTAACTTCAAAAATAAATTATCAAATATGTAAAACAAAATGTGATATAGTGACTCATGGAATTTTCCCCCATAGTCACTGGACAGAGATATTGGAAAATTGGTGAGCGGACAACTGCTCACAGGAAATTGATCATGGGACAACTGATCACGGACAATTAATCATGGATAATTGATCATGACAGACAACTGATCACGGCGGACAACTGATCATGAATAACTGATCATAAAGGAAAATTGATCATGAAGGGTCATGAGATTATTGTTATCGTTTAGGGTGAGTGGTGTGGGTGTGGGAGTAGGTGTAGGTGTGGGGGGGGGGGGGGGGGTGGGGGGGGGGGGGGGGG